TTCCTCTTCATCCCGAGCGTTCCGCTTGTTCGCCTCGGTTTTTCGGGGCTGCTTCTTCGCGGGCAGATCTTTCGGGTTCGTTCGTCTCGCCGGTGGTTCCCATCGGTTTCGCCTCGATTGGTCTCTTTGGGCATGTGCTTCTCGCTTCCGTCCAGTGAATACGTTTTTGCTCCTTCCCCGCGGTTCCGCTCTCTTCGCGAGCACTTGATCGATCCTTCTTTGTCTCCGTCAGCCTGCCCGTTCCCTCGTTCTAATCTATTTTTCTATCCCCCCGGCTGTCTGTTTCCGTTTCTTAATCTGCTCCTCCGATCCCTATCTCTCTCTGTGCTCCTTGATCAGCCTCCCTTTGTCTCTGTCGCCCCGCTCCCTTCGAAATATCTCTCATTGTCTTCGTCTATTTGTATCCCCCGCGTTTCCCTTAATCATGCTTTGTCTTTGTCCGCTTCGCTCCTTATTTATCCGTTTCGCGCCTGACTCTGGCCCCTCCCTTTAATCTGTCTCCTCTTATCTCTGCCTATTGATACGCTGAATTAAGAGAACGCGGAACAGATAGACGCGTTCTATCATTTATCCCTGCCTTCGTCTATCATTCGCCCTTTCTTGTTTTCCTGTGGATACATCTATTCCTCAATCTGCCATCTATCTTCATCCTTAATGCATCTTCATCTCTATTTTGTCTCGCTCCTTTCTACTTTCAACTCTCGTTCTGCTCGTCCGTTTCTCTTAATCTACCGCGCGCTTCTGCCAAATTACTGTCTCCCTTTCCCTTGACCTTTAGCTCTAGGTCAATCTCTCCGTTCTCCTCTCCCTCGGTGTCTTTTCTCTTGATCAACCCCGCCGACTCTCTCGTTCTTCCTCGATCAGCCTCTCCTCGTCCGCGTTTCGATCTCACGGTTCTCCGCCTCCCTCGCTCCGCCTCTTTCCGCTTTGCTGTTTCAGTTCCGTCGGCCTTGCCCTTCTTCGGCGTCAGCCGTGCACCGCGTACCCGTTACGCTCGCGATGAAAGCTCGCCGCGAAATTTTTCAGCCGGCTCCCGGAGAAAGGGGGATCGGTTTGATGGACGGCCGTTTCAAAGCGGTCCTTTCATTCCGAGGGATCAGAGCGAACGAGCGATTGAGATTTCTGGGTCGGATAGATCGTTGCCTAGGTGTTCGCTTCATCCTTGGTTAATGGGGACATTCGATCCGGCCCAATCTCCGACTGCATTTGACTAATCAATTACGAAACAGGTTACGCGAGCCTTTTCGGTGTGCTCGCCGCGTGAAATTTAACGTGGAACTCGTATTCGGACAATATTTATTACGACACTGTGAAACCTGTCCCAACATATGATTATTCTCTTGTTTCGTCAAACTGTCTCCTGTAATCAGACGGTTCCATGGAGAATATAGTTCGATCTCTGTTCAATGAAACGATTCATTTGAACGCCTGTTAACCTTTGCACTCGGAAGTTTTTCACTAGAAATATTTTAACATTTTCTGATGAGATAGAAACGATATTTTGTAAAACTAACTCGCGGAGAAATAACGTACATTGAAGAAAGCTATTTTATTTCAGTATTTCTTAAAATGATGCGTTATGTAAGGTATAATATTAAATATCAAGTTTTATAGTTTTACAGTGTGAAATCAGGTGGTGAGTGAGTCACCTCTCGAGTGCAAAGGGTTAATCTTGTTCTCTGTGTTTCTTTTGAAAGAATTACTATTGTATTTTTCTAGCTGTTTCATGGATTTATTTAGTACTTTCGATTTATGCACTGGTTTTTAGGGTATTTTCGAGTTTGAGAAGTGTAAATGCTGTTTTCAATTTAGATATTAACCCTTTGCACTCCAAACATTTGTCACCAGAAATATTCAATTTATGAGATATAGATGATATTTCTTTAAACTAACTTAACGAGGAGTCTATTCACAAAATAAGAACAATGGTATTCTATTTCCACGTTTCACGTATCGACAGATTACTCAGGACTTAATACGAAATTTTACAATTTTGATGCACCAGTCGAGTGGTGACTAAGATGCACCTTTGGAGTGCAAAGGGTTAATTCAGGTTCGATGGTATTTTTCGAATAGCATTTTGAGAACGACGATAGGACTGATGTAAATTCGCGTTCCTGTGAATGAAGTATAAATGACTGTACACGAAGAGAGACGAGAATACTACTAATCTAAACCTGATAGCCAGAAGGGATGAATTGTGACCCTTTGCGTACTATTGTCGACTATACTCGACAGCCAGATGTTCGACATGGTCGAGTTTACCCGGCAGGCGTGACGAGCACGCTATACCTCGTTTCTAGCTCATTGTATGTAAAGCAATTACGCATTTCTAGCTGACAACGTTTTGTTCCCATTGTATTATCCGTCCACTCGCGCCTGCATCGCCGTCCGCATGAAATAATGATAATAAAACATCTTTAACGAAGAATTCGTTATGCCGATGGACTCCGACTCTATTATTGTTGAACCATCGTCCAGCAACCACAAACAGCAATTCCAAACTTCGCTACACCGAGAAGTTTCATACTAGAACCGCTGCACCTGCTGAATTGACTAGTTCCAGCTTCCGAAATGTACTTACTGAAATCATAAAGTCAAGTACATAAATGATTCCCACGAATGCTTCCCAGTTATAATGAAATTGAGCAACAAAAATCTAATTCTAAAATCCCATCTTTAAACAATCGACGAACCAGAAGAATTCTTCCACAATTCTCGAAATGACTGGTTTCGATTTTCTTGTTTAGCAATTATCGATACCTTCGAAGCATTGAATATTCGAAATGATTTTGAAAATAGTTTCATTTGAGTACTATAATGAATATCTGAAGAAACTGAAAATAATCTATTGTTACAATTTTTATAGAGATATTTTATGGAGATATTCTTTGAAACTAATTAATAAGAAGACATATGAATTAAGAAGGAAAGTTATTTCATTTGAATATTCCATATATTGATGCATCATACAAAGCTTAACACTAGGTTTACAGGCATTTATTCCCTGCTATTGAAACTGTAGATTCGATAGTAGGTAATCGAGGTAAACGTCAGTGTGATCGCATCACTCAAAATCGGCGTAAACATTTACAAAATAATATTTCTAACATCCAACATGCGTCAATTCGACGCGTTCCGTCCATCTAGTGTTAAACACGATTACCCAGCGAATGATCCCGCGAGTCGATTGTTGATAGACGATCAACCTCTCTCAACGATAACAAACTCCCGCGAGGATTCTACGTCAGCGGAGAAAACGAGAAGCGGAAGCGGCGCGGGAGGGCCCGGATCGAAGCCGCCGTCCGCTAAACCCGACGTCCATTTGCAGGGATCGTAAATTAGGCGACCACAACTTGATAGTCGCCTTTAGAACGCCGCGCCACCGGATCGGGAATATATTATGTTGCCAGC